CTTTCTATTGTAGTGCATGACCCACCATATTACAAGTCCTATTACTAACTTAAAGCTACCACACGACAAACCTATACACCCACAAGCAAAGCATCATACTCCCTCTGTCCCTGAATAAATAAATTCCTAGAGTTGTCTTGTGTTAAATTTTGACCAAATTTCTAGAAAAAAACTTTAATATTTATGGTATCAAATTAGTATTATTAGATTTACTATAGAATGCATTTTTATAAGGTGCTCATTTTATGTCATAGATGTTGTTACTCTTTTCTATAAACTTAAGTTTGACTGGCACGGATTCTAGGAATTGATCTATTTGGGTACAAAGGGAGTATAGACGTCGCTTCCTTACTATAGGTGTGATTCATCCAGCTTGAGTTAAACAATTAATGGTGCCAATTACATGGTATCCCCTCTGAATAAATTAATTCTTTGAGTTATCCTAGGTTAAACTTATGTGGTTAATTTTTTTGAGTATATGCAGAGAATCAGAGAAATCACAGAATTTGTAGCTAACCTAGCTGGTAGGGACGACAGAGAGGCTTTGCACCCAGATTTGTCCCTAGCTGCTGCCTTCAGACTAGCCAATCATTGACGTGGTGCATACGGAGGAGCCATCCAGGTGTGTATATCTATGTGGATAAAGCCAAGGATTGATCTCGACTTTTGCATAATCTATGTGGAGGGTGGCCTGACCCGCGCGTGGTGGACAAGGGAAGACCCATCTGAGTTTACTGTGTCTTACCATATGGGTCAATGCATCGCAATTCATTGGGCCGTTACTAGGGACGGCCGGCCGGGAATGCATGCAAGCAGCTTGATAATTTATGGGCTGTAAATTTAGATAGCCCTGCCCTCAATCAAAGAAACAGATCAGGCAAAGAAAAGAAATTTGGCAAATTGCGATGTATAGTCGGCATCGTGTCTTTGCTTAAAAGCTTTCATCGATGATCCTTTGGAGGATACTCCATAAGTGTTGGGATCATACGTGTAGAAAGGGGTTGGATTGGTTGATTGTGTGTGAGGGGTCTGCTTTCGCAACAAATTTGTACTTTGCTTCTTACTAAATGAAACTGCTGAACACCTGTCGTTTATGCTTAAATAAAAGAAAAAACTTTTGTCTCTTATTCAATTTAGTGGCTGACATTTTTACTAGGATGCTTATTAAAGCAGCTAGATGTAATTTGGTCTCTGGTCTGATGCTTCAAGTTATTGAGGGTGGTATTATCAGTTTGCAGTATGCAGATGATACACTCCTGTTTCTGGAAAATGGCATAGAAAAAGCTAATAATTTGAAGTGGCTTCTTCTTTTTATGAACAAATGACTGGGATGAAGATCAACTAAGATAAGAGTGATGTTCTAACTATCGGTATTGATGAGGAGAGAGTTAATGAGTTTGCAAGAATTTTATGTTGTAAAACAGGAGAATTCCCACTTAAGTACTTAGGTGTCCCATTGGATTTCACAAAGTTAAGGAGAGAGGACCTTCAGCCTATTATTGATAACATTATTAAAAGGATAGCTCGGTGGAAAGGTAGATTACTGTCCTATGCAGGACGTCTGACTTTACTGAAAGCTTGTCTTGCTAGCATTCCCATTTATCTGATGTCCATTATTAAATTTCCTAGATGGGCGATTGATATGATTAATTCTCATATGGCACGATTCCTATGGAATAATAGTGAGGATAAGCATAAATATCATCTTACCAACTGGCAATTGGTTGCCCAGAAAAAAGAGTGAGGTGGTTTAAGTATTCCTGATCTTAGGAACCTAAATTTGTCTCTTCTTAGTTCATGGATTTTTAGATATAGCCTACATTCTCATTCCATTTGGACTAAGATCATAGACCACAAGTATAGAACTGATAATCCTAATATTTGTTGTTGTTTAGACAGCCAAGCATATCCTTTATGGAAAGGTGTTGTTTTGGCCTTACAGGCTACTCAAATGGGCATCATGTGGAATGTGGGTAGGGCAAAAGATTAGGTTTTGGGAAGATCATTGGCTGGGTAATTCTAGCCTGGCAATTGAATTTTGGCCCTTATATGTGATCATTGAACAGTAGGGGAAGACCATTGATCAGCTTTGAGATGGGGAAACTTTGAAACTCTCCTTTAGGGGAACTGTTTCTGAGATATTAATGGAGATGTGGTTTGAGCTGTTAGGAATTGTAGAAGAAGTTCATTTAGTAGAGGAAGAGGATCAGATTATCTGGAGTTTTAGCTCCAATGGTCAGTATTCGGTTCAGTCTTTATATGCGGTTATTAACCATCAAGGTGTTAAACCAGCGTATGTCCAAGCTGTTTGGAAACTTAAAATACCTCCAAGAGTCCAAATCTTCTTATGGCTGTTATCAAAGAACAAGCTCTTAACAAGAAACAACCTAGCTAAGAGAAGAGAGTTGGATGACTTGACTTGTTTGTTTTGTTCTGAAACAATAACTATTCATCATTTATTTTTTTATTGTTGTGTAGCCAAATATATGTGGTCAGCTTTAGCTGACATCCTGGGCTTATCTGGGAATTGGGATTATGAATGTGTGGCTTCTCTCTGGGTACCGAATAAAAAGTTTATGTTAGCTAATATAGTTAATGTTGCTGCTCTTTGGTGCCTATGGAAAGTGCGTAATAAAATTTGTTTTGAGGGAGACGTATGGATAGCGATGAAGAAGGTGCTGACATGGATCTCAAGAACTTTTAGGACATGGAAACCAATGCTCAACGCGGTGATGGAGGAAGAGTTGGAGTTGGTAATCCAAAAGATAACTGAGCTGGAGGCGAACAGACCACCTGGAATCAGCTGGAGTCCATTAAATTCTCAAGCATCGGTGTTTCAGCCTTTGGTGGCGGACTGCATCACTGTGAATCAGCAGATTTCTGAGTTTGTAATACAGTCTAATACCGCTGTGACTTCTGGCCTTTAGGCCTTTCTTTGGCAGGTGCGCCGTTACGCTTCTGAACTGTAATGTTGACGCTTTATGATCAGTAAAGCGGGGAAACCTCTTTTTCTAAAAAAATATTAGCAATTAAGAACTGTAGTAGTATAGGTACTAGCATGCCTAGGGAGGGGGCCATTCCATTTTGGAGCGTGGAGCGATGGCCTGCTCGGACCCTTCTAGGGCCGGCACTATTAATAACCAAAAAAAATAAAGTCCTTAATAAATTTGGAAATAGTTTAGGTTCCCCAATATAGAATTATTTATTATTTTTTTATTAAAATTTAAAAACCAAACCATCTTATAAACTTACAAAGTGCAAACTAGATCTACACGATATAGGTGATAAAGATCATTTTTTAAAACATTATTTTATTTAAGCGGTTGTCATGTCCCTCTTGAAGCAGCATTACACAGAGAGAAAAATAGAAAGGAGAGAAGCAGACTATAAGTTTATAGCCAATTTATGCACAAGAACAAAAAAAGTTCATGAGAGAAATAAGAGGCCATAAGTGAGCTAGCCACTATATAAGTGGTATGATGGATTGACAGTAAGTTTACATACAGCCAGCAGCAGCAGGCTATATTATTAAGCTTGCTCTTATGAAGAGAAATTCTCTCTTGGTGTATTGTACGAGTCACAATTTGTAGCTAGTAGTTGCCCATGATTGCAAGGGTTTAATTTTGTAAGAGAGTTTCATAGAAATCATTGCAATCAAAGGAGATCAAAATGCTCAGATAGTTTGAGATGAATCCATGTGCAAACCAAAGTTGTAAGAGCACCTCTAAGAGTCTTAAAAACCCTAAATCATTATTCAGAGAGTCATTTAAATAAAAATCTCTATCTATATCTTTCAACTCTCCAATATTTTTTTTATATCTTGTGCGCACAGTCAACCTTGCTCTTCAACTTTGGCTAGCGAGAAATCCAAAATAAAGGTGACTATATCTGGATAACCAATTAAAGAAATTGTTGGAGGGTATTTTTTCAAAAAAAAAACTCTATTCCTAACAATTAGAAAGAATATAGATAGTTTGTTGGAGTTGCTCTAAGATGTACATAAATACTATAGTATACTACTCCCTCTATTCCAAATTACTCCTTCCATTCCAATTTATATGTCGTTTTGATTTTTCTAGATACACAACATTTATTATGTATTTAGACATATTGTATATCTAGGTACATAATAAAAGCTATGTATCTAGAAAAACAAAAACGACCTATAATTTTAAATTGGTTTGGCTTTTTTATATACATTGTTTTATTATGTATCTATATATAGCTAGTATATATCTAAGTGCATAGCAAAAGCTATGTATGCAAAAACCGAAATGTCTTATAATTTCAAATAGAGGGAATCGTATTTTTCCTACTATTTACAAAATGGCAGGATGCAAACTCAAAGCATATTTTTTCTACTATTTACAAAATGGCAGCACGCAAACTCAAAGCATAATTGATTTACTTCTGTACCGGAATCAAGTGCAAGTCAAGCAAGCAGGAGATCGATCATCGACCCCTCTCAGTTCAGTAACTATCTTGCTCTTGACCAAATTAACATGATTTAGGGTGAATAACACGGGAAATTCAACAAAATCGCTGCCGTGAATCCTTTGCTCTTCATTATGCACACGATCATCACAAAATTCTATATCTGAATATTTAAGGACATCCTTATCTGAAATTTCGTTCATTTATCTGAACATTTTGGTCAATCCTCATCTGAAACTTGTTTCCCTTATACTTGAATATTTTACGGAAAGTCGAAACCCTTATCGGAGTAGTATATCTGATCTTCCACGTGCATGCTTATCACGTTCACGATCAGTTTCCCACCAGGTCGCCGGGCCCACCTGCAGCCTCACGTGACCCCGCTCCTAAACAGCCGCGGCGCGGTGCCCATGGAACTTGGAACAAGTGTTTTGAGTTCACAAGAGTAGTTCAGAGTTGAGACTCGCGCTCGCACGCCGTCCTTCGCGCTGCTTAATCGGTTAGGGCTCGTCGATCCATCGCCCGCTCGACTTCTGATCTCGCGGGCGGAGGAGCGCGCCGGCTCGATGGCTCCAGATCCGGATTTGCCCGGCTGCGAGCAGGCGGAGCCGCCCGACGAGGTGGACGACCCCGACGTCGAGGTCGACCCCACCGGCCGCTACTTCCGGGTACGTGCTGCGCCGTCCATCCGCCGTACCTTCGCGTCTGCTGCTAGTGTCGACATGTTGTTTAGTCTCGTTGGGTTGCCGGGTTGGTTCATCGCCTGTTAGCGCGGGGGGCTTTCAGCTCCTGAATCTTGAATCTTGATTGCATCTTGCGCTGCGAATTCGTCTGAAAATTGCCTGATCTCTGCGGTTTCGTTTGTGCATTGCAGTACAAGGAGGTCTTGGGATCAGGGGCCTTGAAGACAGTGTACCTCCCTTCCCTCTCCTCTGCTGTTTATGCAGTAATTCAGTAGCAAATTAAATGACAGTAACTTGTTTCCTGAATTTCACACTGGATATTCGAGAAATCGCAAAGATTCAGCCTTGAATATTTGTTTCAAAATATGAAGAAAGTAAGAATGCTTTGGTGCCAGCTACGAAGGCTTCGACGTGGTGGAAGTCATCGAGGTGGCATGTGTGAGAATAAACTATTGTTTTTCCTTATGTGAACACAGCAAGGGAAGGCAGCGTCGAAAGGCCCCCTGTTGTGATACTGTAGCACTGCAGGTGTAGACGCTGCACGGCTCACCTGCAACACTGTAGGCACATGCATGGGCCGGCGCAGAGTCAGCCCTGTATGTTATTTAGTCACTGTTGCAGTAGGACAGCTGTACTGGGACTAGATGGATAGAGTTGTATAAATAGACTACCACGGCAACTCAGTAAAGAGAGTTCAGATTTGCCATCTCACAGACAGGGCTTCGGCCAACGCTGGTGTCTTGTATTGTGCGTGCTTGCTCTGTTCTCCCTTCTTCCTCTAGCTCCAGCCATAGTGTGTGGGAACGGACTATGCTTACTCGTGGTCGGCACGACTAGTGGGTGCTCGGCAACACTAGTGGGTGCTCGGCAAGACCGACGAGTGGTTCACTCGCGTGAGCCGGTGATCCTGTAGGCCAACAGCATGGGCCAAAGTCTCCAGCACAAGCACATCCTCAAGCTCTACGCCTCATGGCTCGACAAGAAGAAAAGGACCGTCAATATCGTCACTGAGCTGTTCACGTCTGGCAACTTGAGAGAGTATGTAAATATGACATAACCCTTCCTTGTATGCGCTGCTATGATGGAGCGTGATTGATTTTACTATTTGTGCTTCGTACGTTCTTTTTGTGACATGGTGAATGTTCAGTTATTTACCAATGGCAAACAAAATCTGAATAACTCTTTCTTTTTCCAATTTAAAGTCTGAATAGTTTATTGGTAGTTTTAGTTTTCACTTTTCAGGGTTAAAAGAAATACAGAGTTGGCTCTTTTTTGCTTTCCATTCAGAAGGGAAACAGCTGTATAGAAGTAGCTACCTTCACCATCCCTTTCAGGCCTTGTTTAGATGCATGTGTATCACTTCAACCCACATGTGTTGGAGTGGAATGGAATAAAACTTAGTTCAATTCCACTCCAATCTACTTCAACACATGTGGATTGAGATAAATACATGCACATCCAAATAAGGCCTTAATGATCTACTCCATGTTATGATGTGGTTAGGTACCGTACGAAGCACAAGAAAGTTGACATGAAGGCAAGGCGATGGGCCAAACAAATACTGATAGGGCTAGCCTATCTGCATAGCCAGAAGCCACCAATCATACACAGGGACTTGAAGCGTGACTTGGCCCCGTTCGCTGGGCTGAATTTGGTTGAAAAACACTGTTCCGCCTGAATTGTTGTGAGAGAAAACACTGTTCTAGCTAAAAAAAGAAGCCGAACAAGCCGACTTTTGTGACTCGTCGAACGGCACCAATGAGCCTGTTCGATGGTTGGTTTTTGGGCTGATAAGCCAAACTGGTGCTGGTTTGTTGTGAGAGAAAAATACTGTATCATGGCTGATAAGCCCTGGCTGAAACCAAAAAGCGAATAAGCTGAATATTGGGGACTTCGGTTTGGCAATGGTCATGTAGCGGAGGAAAACACAGAGTATACAGGGTACGGTTTTCTATAGGCCATGCTGCCACATATGTGGTGAGCTTGATATGGTTATAGTAACATTTAACCTGAAACACAGGCACCTTAGAATTCATGGCACCAGAGCTCTTTGGTGAAAACTACAATCAGTTGGTGGATATATACTCTTTCGCCACCGTCCTCCTTGACTTAGTCGATGCCGTCTTCATCATCCATGTACTTTTGCTCTTCTTGTGCCCAATGTGAGCCACGCATGGCCAATTCTCCGGCCCCTGGTCGCTCGGTCCAAGCCTTCTCATCTACCCTTTACCACTTCTGGTCCATCGAATACGGACTCCGCACTTGACCTTCTCTATTGCCGTTGACCATCTTGGCACACCCAACATCTGCACATTCACAAGCCAAGAGACATGATGCACATCACACACAACATAACTTAACATGACACCTTCGATTAGTCATTAGCATAATCAAACAAATATGAAATTTGATTCAACTGGGAAAGTCTCGAACCTCTCGTATCTGTGTCGATCATCCACAACACACGCATGATCACATCTCTGGGTTCAAAAAAGAAAAATTAAAAAGATAAACAGAAACAGACAAACTTGATTGGACTACGGAGGCATAAAGATGCTTTGCCCGTTGTGCTATTCAACAAATGGGCCGAACCATGGCACAGCCCACACGAAGCTACCAGCGGTTGCCGTGGTGCCCAGCGCATGCTGCTTCTCACAGGGTGTCACTTAGGTCTATGAACTTGAAAAATACATGGGAGGCCTTTGAACTTGTCACAGGGTGTCACTTAGGTCTATGAACTTGAAAAATGCATTTCTAGGTACCTAAACTTGCTAAATGATACACCATAGATTCACACTTGCCACATGGGCATTTTATCTGATGTGGCGTTGCCACATGATAGGGAAATATGCAGTGAACACCCTAAAATCAAAATGGAATATCCCAAACGGAGCATCTGGGTTTTGTCCTCGCCTGGTCACGCACGCCACCTATTCGGCACAATGCCACATAGTGTTTTTTTAACACTTTTTGTAAACTAATTTTAAATCTAACACTGTTTGTTTTTTTTCCAAAACTAACACTTTTGGCCACGCCTATTGCCATGGCGCGGCGAAATGCCTGTGTCTCACCATGCATGGCGGCGCGTCGGGAGGATAACATGGCGTCATCATGGCAGGATCTGCCACGCCACCCATCTTGGCGCGGCTGTGAGCGCGGCAAGGCCCAATAAAAGCCCGCGACACCCCCACTGCGCCCGCCCTCGCCCTCGAACGCCGCCGCCCGCCCAGCGCCGCCGCGTCACCTGCACTAGGCGTGGCCGCCGTCAACCGGCAGCGCCGCCTCCTCACCTGCGCCAGCCGCCGTCGCCTCGCCTGCCTCCTCGCCTACGCCAGCCGCCGCCGCCTCGCCTGCCAACGCCGCCTCCTCTCCTTCGGCTCATATCAAGGTAGCTCCCTCTCTTGATTTCTTGTTATTATGAATGTTATTTTAGTTAGGGTTAGTGATTTAGGATAGTTAGGGTTAGTGATTTAGTATAGTTAGGTTAGTGAATTTGTTTATTTAGGTAGGTAGTTTTTAGGGTTTAGGTTGTGTGTTGTAGTATAGTTAAGGTTTTGTTAGGTAGTTAGGGTTTTGGTTACTGTTAGTTAGGCCTTTGGGTTTAGGAATTGATTAGGTATTTATTATTTAGTTAGTTTATAGTAGTAAAGGTTGTCAGTATAGATACTAGTTTTCAAGTGTCGGTACTTAGTAGTGCGTGATACGGTGATTTGGAATGGTTTGATGAACCTCCTAGCTTCAATGACGTTTGTGTCCGTTTGAATACATAGAAGTTGCTTATTTTCCTAGTGAAGTTGTTTAATATGTCTGTTAATGTTACTTTGAATATATACATGTTCTTTCATATTGTGTTCTTATTGCATAACAAGTAGTTCAAATTTTGCAATGCTACATGATGTTTATTTGAATATTGTTAATTAGAATACTCTAACCCTTTGTTTATTAATTTGTAACAGGATGGCCCCTCCCACGCAGCACCCGTTGTACCCCCTTCTTGACGTGGAGTATGATGAGCCGCACCAAGCACACTTATTGAGTGACACTGACGTAGAGGTGCCCTTGCCTCCTTTGAGGCCCCGCACGCACACCAGGGTGCACCAGTGGGATGAGGGTTACGTGCCATACATACGGCATGCCGGCTTCCTTGAGCTTGTCCATGTTGTCAACTATGGTCTTCCGCCCCTTGACCCAGCACTACTTACTGCAGCTGTAGACAGGTGCGAGTGCCTTCATTGTACGTAAACATTCTTATAACAAATTTGAGGCAACTAACAGTCGTTCTATTCTTATAATAGGTGGAGGCCTGAGACCCACACGTTCCACCTACCTTGCGGCAAGATGACCTTGACCATGCAGGACGTGATGGCTATCTTTGGCCTTCGGTTGGGGGGACTTCCAGTGACAGGTATAGTTGACAACGATCATTGGAGGGAGCTGGTGGCTCAATTCACTGGCTTTCTTCCACCGGACGATGAGGTTTCCAATAAAAATAAGTGAACAATTCAAGCCTATTTAATACCTGCATTGCTTTCCTGCAGCCATCAGGTCTCATTTTCTTTGGTGAATTTTAGGAAATGGGTCTCATTTTCATTGGTGAATTTCAGGAAAAGTTCCAGTGTTTCGTCGTCGTGGATCACAGAACGCTTTGATTACTTGGACCCATAGGCTGATGAGGCTCAGATCGATAGGTTCGCTAGAGTGTGGCTCTGGCACTTCCTTGGTGCTTTCCTCTTCCCAGATGCCTCGGACAACACCATCAGCTGGATCTTTCTTGGCATACTACGCTAGCCATGGGATAACATAGCGGCGTACAGTTGGGGCAGCGCAGTCCTGGCATGGACGTATCGACAGCTATGCGTTGCCTATCGTCGCACCTCAGGGTATGCGAACATTGGGGGTTGCTCCTACCTACTCCAGGTTTGGTGTTGGGAACGATGGCCCGTTGGGAGGCCCCTTGCTACTGGTTTACCGATAAGTACTTCGGTTCACTATATTCTTCGAGGCAGTTACATATGATTAAATTATTAATGGCTAATTCATTATCATGTTCAATGCAGCATTGGAATGGGCAGGATACACTCCCTACAGCTCTGTATATCTAGACGCAAGCAGAGTTAGTTAGAGGAAATGCGAGGCGCAAGTACAGGGAGTACACGGATGGTCTTGACGTCTTGACACAGCACCAGGTTACGCTCTCTTTACTATCATACATGTGTCTTGTTCGATGTACACTATATCACAACCTAACTCAATTACGAAATATTCCGGTGCATTG